TAACTTCCTTCAGTGATGAATAGTAGGCATGTAAGTCAAATAAACCCTTTCCTCCCCAACTTTCTTTTTGGTCATGGTGTTTCATCACAGAAAAAGAAATCCTAAGACACTGGCTGAGAACGAACAAGGAAGTGTTGAGAAGAGGAGGCAGTGGGCTCTGGGCCGTGACCAGAGAGCCAGACAGCTGCAGACCCATCTGAATTTGTGAGGGCTGAGGGGACAGACTGTGGTTTTCCTCAGGCTGGAGGGAACCAAGCCCTGGGTTTCACTAGGGAGAGCTTCAGTGGAGTCTGATAAAGTGGCATGAGGTGAGGAACAGGATTCTGGGAGGAAGAGAGTCTCCCGACTCCTACAGGGGCAGCTGCCTATACACTGGCCGCTCCCCTGCTGAAGTACCCCAGCTGGTGCCCGGAAGTTCACCACTCATGGCTGCGGCAGGTTGTGTGTGGCCTTCCTGTACCCTCACCACAAAAGAAGCTTCAGAATCTTGAGAAGTGGTGTCTTCCATCCACTTCCACACACCCCCACCCACTGTTACCCTTCCCAAGTCACAGACAACAGCTCCCTGGTCACCCCTGCTTCTGGCCTCATGCTGACGCTGCCTCTGAGCTCTCCGTACATCCCTTTCCCCAGACCCCTGTCCCGGTAGGCCAGTCAGCCACACGGCCCATGCGAAGTGTTACACCAGAAGCACTACAGTTTCCAAGCATCTAGTGCTGGGTCACATCATGACTCCTAAATGGGCTTTTCTCCAACATGCTACCCAGCCAATCCTATTCCACCTCAGAGAACCTTCCAGTGCACAAAATGACCCCATCACTCACCTCTGAAAATCCCTCAGGGGCTCCCAGTACCCTGGGGCATCAGTCCTCAGTCTCCACAGGATGTGTTCCAGTCTCTCCACCTTACTCCCATCTTCTTGCCACTCCCCGCACACCCTTCACTCCCTTCTCTCACCCCCCCCCCAGCAGCACCTGCCTCCACCCAGAGGCGGTAAACTCAGAGAGCGATCCAGTCTGTATCGGGTTTGATCTGTTCTGATGGAGCAAAGCTGTAGATCCCTGCTGCAGGGATGTCCAAGTGCGTGGAGTTCTTGACGTAGGCAAAAGCGATTGAAGAATCAGTCAAGCGGCTCACACAACACTCTCTGTTGTGAGGTTTACCCTCTGGTGTGACACTGAGGACAGGACATCACGTATGTCCACAGATGTTTACCATGAATCTGATCAGTAGCAAGCAAGAAGACAAATCAGAGCACGGGAGATTCCACACAGCTCCAAAATTGATAAGGTCATAAGAACAGTATAAGAAAAAAAAAAAGACTTTTGAAGTCAGGTGATTAGCAGCTGAACATGGTGGAGCATGCTTGAAATCCCAGCATTCAGAATGTGGAATCGGCAGGCAGTGGTGGCGCACACCTTTAATCCCAGCACTCGGGAGGCAGAGGCAGGCAGATCTCTGTGAGTTCAAAGCCAGCCCCATCTACAGAGTGAGTTCCAGGACAGTTAGAGAACACAGCAAGACTACACAAAGTAGCCCTGTCTCAAACAAAATAGAACAAAACAAAAACAAAAGTACAACAACAACAAAAAGGCAAACAAAAACAAAAACAAAAACCAAGTCAGGCAGTGGTGGTGCACACCTTTAATCCCAGCACTTGGGAAACAGAAGCAGGCAGGTCTCTGTGAGTTCAAGGTCTACAGAACTAGTTCCAGGACAGGCTCCAAAGCTACACAGAGAAACCCTGTCTCCAAAAAAAAAAGAAAAAGAAAAAAGAAAAGAAAAAATGTGAAAGCAAGGGGACCAGGAGTTCGAGGTCTTCCTCAGTGCTGCACAGGGAGTTTGAGATTGTGGTGCCTGGGCCACATTAAAACCCCTAGTTCAAAAGTGGGAGGGGGGAAAAAGCAGGATTAATCCCAAACTAAAACATAACTAAATATAGTACATGCTCCTTGGACAAAAAAAAAAAATTATAGCCAGGTGTGGTGGTGCATACCTCTAATCTTAACACTCAGGAGGCAGAGGCAGGCAGATCTCTGTGAGTTTGAAGCCAGCCTGATGTACATGGCAAGGTCCAGGACAGCCAGGGCTACAGAAGAGAGACCCTGTCTCAAATACCAAACCAAGCCAAACAAACGAACAAGAAAGATCTATAATAAATACTTACAAAAGATGTTACTAGAACCACTAGAGAAACTGGAACGGAGGCTAATTATGAGGCAAACTGAATCATTACTAAGTTTTTCAGGTATGATAATAGTATAACTGTTTTGCAGTGGGAAAGCGTCCTTGACTCAGGGGATTTAGTTTGAGGTGATGTGTTATAAAGCCTTCAACTTTCATACGTGGGAGCAAAGGGAGGAAAAAGGGTGGCCAGATGCTGGCCCTGGCAAATCCAGGCCTCTGGGTGAAGGGGGTGTGGGTGTATGTGGGCTGTGTCGAGGAGAGAATGAAAGGGGTTCAGGACGAGGCCCCAAAGAGGCAAACTGGGGCTCTGAGCAGGAGGCAAGGAAAGGGTGCTGCTACTCGCAACAACCCACAGCCTTGAAGCAAGCTGGGCCCTGGGCTTGCCTTGACCTGAATACCAGTCACCCAAACACGCGGGCACAACTCAGGAGGACTCACCACCCACAGTGAGCCTGACTCTACTGTGCGCCAAGCTCAGGGGAGAACAGGACTCTCAGGACACGACCAGACCCCAGAGAGACCAGGACATATCACAGCCAAGGCAGGACCTCCCAATCTTGGCTAAGCTGCGACAAGGAACCAGGTGTCGCCCTGGGCTCACCCCACCCCCAAACATCCCTTGAAGGGTGACAGTCTGAGTATATCCTCCCGTATAAGGAGGCAGGCTAAATATGGAAGCCCAGACACAAGATGCTTCTCAAAACAGATTTTCCTGGAAAAGACCATCTGGTAGAGGAGGTCTAGAGCATCGTCTGCTAAGAGAGGTAGCTTCAGTCTGCAGGCTGCCCAGAGGAAAACGCCTTCACCTCACCTGCCTAGGAGACCCCAGTGTAGCGCTTCGGTATCCCCCAAGGTCACACCCGCGCAGACTGGAACGCTCTCCGGCCCACCTCTGCCCTAGGTTGTCCTTCCAGGGCAACAGAGGAGGTAGTTGGGGATACACAACTGGGGACACAGATCTGAGCCTCAGAAAGCCCTCCCCAGATGTAGTCCTCACTCCACAAGATATGTGGAGCAGACAACTGCCCTCTGGGCCCAGAGGTCTCTCTATCAGAACGGGGGCAATAACATTGTCTCCCTCCAAAAACTCACAGGTGTCGGGGGATACCCCACACAGCTGCTGTGCTCCATCAGTGGAAGCAGGGCAGTGTGACATCCCCAGGCCCTGTCTCTTGGGCTCATGGAGGGCAGGAAGACATCCTATCTATCTTTCTCTCTCCTTTGAGGAATGACCCTAGATCCGCTTGGGACATGTGTCCTCTCCCTGGTGCAAGCCTGCAGGAAGGAGACCCCTTAGTCTGGCACAAGGCAATTCAGAGCTCCAGGGACAAATGACCTCAACCCCACAGGAGGTACCAGCTGAGGAGGCCTCCAAGAACACCTGTCATTCCTGTGCCTTCAGCCGGGTCACAGCTACCTACTCATCCCAGTGTGTAGGAATCCCCTGAAGGCTCGGCCATGCCTATAGGGACTGCTCTTGTCCACCAGGAGCAACCGCTGGAGGAGCCCTACTCAGAACCCACTGCCTAGCTCCCTGCAGCGGGAGAAAGGGCTTTGGGGGGAACAATTCTCTCCTCCAGACCCCTGAGTGAACCAGAAGAGTGACTGGCTCATTGTCCTGATTCCTAGACCCCAGGCCACAGATCTTCCAGCTTCCCTGGGAGGAAGGCATCTGCTCGAGGGTGAGGGTAGACTTAGAGGGGGTCCCACGCTCTATGCCTGCTATCTCTCAAGCTAACTCAGTGGTGTTCAGAAGGCAGCTCTTGTTTCTAGGGTCTGGAGGGGTCTAGAGAAATCCTAATGCTACCCCAGGCCCACCCTCCTACACCAGCAACCCCAGAGCAGGCTGATTGGTCTCGGTCACCTCAGCCAGGCTTGTCCTGAGCTGCCAGGAGGAGTCTTGTGTCCTCTTGCATTATAACTGTTGCATCTGCCCCCCAGATCTCTGTCTGGGGCCGGCAAGATGGGCCTAAGACAAAGGGGTGGACAGTGGGCAGTGGGCCCAAGGTCTTGTGTAGAAACAATGCCCCGGTTCTTATTTCAGAGAGTCCCAGATCCTCCAGGGACAAGAGTCTAGAAGAGAGCCAGCTGGATACCGTGGTCCCCACATCTGGATTCCCTGCCCCACCCAGACCCAGCTCCAGGTTCCAAGGACCCCTCCTCTCAGTGCTACTATAGCCATTCTATATGAGGCCTGGCCTTGCCTACTGCCTGCCACGCCCCCAAGAGAACCCCTGCTCTTGCAGAGAGAGAGGCCTGAGCCCCAGGCCTGCCTGTCAAAGTTGGGAAACTGGAAAGAGAAATAAATCCTCAAAGATGTTCCGTTGTGGAGGTAGCTGTGGCAGGCCCCAGTACACAACACCCTAACCACGGACCACCAAACTGACACTGGCACCCCACCAACGCACACGCTAACACTGATTATACAAAAGGGGGAGGGGACCGGGAGGCAGAGCCCAGGAGACAATTGGGCCGGCAGCTTCATCCTCCCAGCAGGCGGGACTGGGGCTCTTTGGCGGCGCCCCCACTCCCTGGCCCAGTCCTGACCATCTTGGGCTTCCTCTCCCTGCCCCATCTCCATGACAACCGCATCCTTTGGATGCTCCAGCCACCACAGAATTGATCTCGAAATGTAGCTTTGTTAGAGGACCCTAGCGGGCAAAAAGGGCGGAGGGCGGCTCCCGCCTCCCAGCCTGCTTTCCTCTCTCCCACCCTAAATCCCTTCCTAGTATCTAGCTGGCCTCCTGAGAAGAGGGGCGGGGTCCCGGAGCATGCAGGCCTTGGGGACACAGTTGGTCCGTGGCCCCACTCACCGCTCGGGTCCCAGCAGCTGGGTCCCCTCTCACGGCGGCGCCATGAGGAAGCCACCCCTGGACCCGCGGTCCCGTGCCGCCGCCTGTTGGAGCTCCCCGCGTCCGCTTCTGTCCCTTCAGGTGTTGGAGCCTCGGCTGTGGAGAGGCTGGGCAGAGAAGGAGGGGACGGACTGCAGGAGGGAGGGAACAGAACAGGGAGGGAGGGAGGGAGGGAAGGAGGAGCGGGAAGGACGGGAAGGGCGGAGGGGGGAGTGGAGGGGCTGCCGGCGCGCGCGCAGCCCGGAGGGGACCGTGGCCACCAGGAGGGCCCACCCGCGGCGCCTGGCCACGAGCGTGAGACCTTGCGCGGGGCGCACACACACAGGATGCGGCCACCTCTGTCCCGCACCAGCCCGCGCTGGACCCTTTAAGAAAGTGGGGGAGGGGAGTTCCACGAGGTTCCGCCCCCCTCCTAGCCCAACCCAGCCTCTGTCCTCGAACCTCTGGCTGACCCAACCACTCACTGTCCCAACTGTCCTAGCCCCTGATGGAGAGACGGGCCTTGCCCCCACCCCAGAGTCCCCATTTTCATCCCGGAAGATCTCTCCTTGGAGTTTAGGGAGCAAAGTAGAGAGAGTCACAGAGAGAGAGATAGGCACCCAGAGGTACAGATAGACTTGGGAGTGACAAGAGGAGTTGAGGACAGAGCTGGACTGGGCAGAAGAGCGGAGACAAAAGAGAGAGGCCCTGTGGCAGATGGGAGTTGAGACAGGGCCACCCTAGGCTGGTAATCATGGCCTCACAGGCCCCCACCCCAGGACTGCAGCTCCCTGGAGGAACTTGACCAGACTGTGCCTGGACTCCATACTAAGGTCTTCTTGGCTGTAAATTTCCTATAGCACAAGGCCTACCTCTCAGAGAGACACTAACCCTAGGGGCCCCGAGAAGGGAAGGGTGAGAAGGCCCAGTCCTTGGGGAAGGGGGAGCGGGGGCTACCACAGGCACCTCTGTCCCTCTTCTTCAGCTTCCTGGTTCTGATCACCAAAACCACAGTCTCCTCTAATGCTTTTCCTGTGTCCTATTTGACTCAAAACGATCCTACAACCCATTTTACAGATAAAAACACTGATGCTCCAAGAGCCAACCTCATCTGCCCCAGGTTTCAGGAGATCTAAGAAACTGGGCAGATGAGAGAGGGCTTAGTGTACAACCTTTCACCTCCCCCAACCCTCAGACACCCTCTGCATGCAGGAACCTCAGAGCTTTTGGGGAGGAGGGGGACCTGTCCTGCAGGTGAGGAGGGTGGCCGTGGCTGGAGCTCAGGAGGAGGTAGAGGCACCAGTCATTCCTTACTGGGCACCCTCCCAGGTCATAGCCGGACCACTCTTCTTGGTGCCCCCCCATCTGCCCCATACAGAGGGCGGTACATTTGATGGGTGGGGCTGGGTAGGGACCAAAGGAGCTGATGAACTGGGGGCTTGTCCACACGGACGTGTGTCCGTTCAGCGGGCCATGGCTCTTCTACTGGTTAGGATGATTTGCTGGACTGAAGATGTAGCCCAGTGGTTAGGACGCCTGTCTAGCAATCGAGCATGCCTGAGGCCCTCGTGGAAGTGGCTCCTGACTTTTTGTCTCCCGTGGACTGAGCCCTGTAAGATCAGGTTAAACTTGCCCAGGTAAGTATCCCCAGCGTTCATACACAGAGCAGGGAAGAATGGCAGGAAGGGAGGAGCATGCGCTGTCACTAACCCTCCCACCGCCAGGTCCTCATTCCTCTCCACAGCACATGGGGCCTCCTTGAAAGCTGTCCCTGGCAGCTGTCTCCAGTTCCTCTCTCTTAGGAAACTCTCAAGCTACTTTCTCAAACACCTGACAACAACAGCTTAGGGGAAGGAAGGGCTGGTTTGGGCTCACAGCCGTGGGGGAAGGCTCGCTGGCAGGAGCTTGAGGCTGCTGGTGGCACTGCAGCAGTCAGGAAATGGAAAGACAACATGGTACCCTGTTCTCTTTCTCCTCCTCCACCCCCAGTTCAGGACCCCAGCCCATGGAATGCTATCCACATTTAGATGGGTCTTCCACCTCTGTTAACCCCGTCTAGAAACTCCCTCACTAACGTACCCTGAGATTTGTCTCCTAGGCGAGTCTAGGTCCTGTCATGCTGTCCATTGACAATTAACAGATTCTAGCCCACCCCTCAGCTCTTCTATCCTCACACAATCCATGACGCCATTCACGCGGATCACCATTCACAAGGATCACCATTCATGAGGATCACCATTCACGCGGATCACCATTCACGAGGATCACCAGCACAGCTCCCAGTTACGGATGTGCAGGGTGGGTGTTGTACATGGGCACCTGAGCTTGCAGACCCCTTGAGGAGCTGGAATCATCCACCCTCTTCTCACCATGCTGTGAGCCTGGCACAAGGCTACAGATGCCAGGGAAAAACAACATTTCTTGCACCCCCAAGTAGATGCAGTAGGCATGCCTACCTAGCCAGGCCCCCCCAAATCATATATAAAGTTGCTGGAGGCAGACTGTAGCCTGGGCCTCGTGGCAATGCCAAGGCCTTATCCAGTGTGCAGACTGCTTTCTTCTGAAGTGTTTGATGCCGTCCTCTGTTTTGGGACTCTGCTTTCCTCCCAGGATGTCCCTAGTCATGACCCCTGGTCCCTCAGCTTTGGCCTTCCCCGCTCTCTACGCTCTGAGATACGACTCGTTTCAGACCAAGCTAAATGCAGTGAGTGCCAGCACATGGCCCCCGGGTCACACCTAGACACCAGCACTGGCTGAGGTTCCTTCCTGCAGAGTCCCCAACCCTCTTCCCGCTTCTCCACCCACGCAGGTCAAACCCTGGAAGCCATCTTTGCCTTCCTCTCCACTACATCCAATGCCTGGACTGTCTGAGACAGACCACCTATGTCCTAAGTTAACCCTTCTGGTCAGTCCTACTGTCAGCCTAGTCAGACACCTTCTCTTCTCTGACTGTCACTGTGGCCACTGGTTCCACCCCACACTCCAAGCGTTCAGGCACAGCAGCTATGGAAAGGCCCCACACTCTCCTGCTCACATTCACGCAGTGAGTCTCTGTGACTCAGTGCCACCATCACACCATCTTCACATGGCCCCCGGGGTCCTCTACTGTTTCTCTCCCAGCTCTTTTCTGACCTCTCCACCTCAGCCACGCCAGCATCCTCATGCATCCTCTCTTGTAAAATGCTAAAAGGGGTTTGAGACAAAAGCAAGCATATACAAAACAAAAAACAAAACAAGGGGTGATGAGGTCCTGCCCTTTGGGTGGGAGACACTTCAACAGCTGCAGGAAGAGCCCTCTCGGGAGATTTCCCCAGACCTGGGAGACACCCCTCCAGGCTCCAGGGCCTTCATAGTCACAACGCGTCCCTCCTTATTGTTTGAACAGCTGCTCCTTGGGGTTAGGTCCCTTCTCTCTTTTCTAAGTCCCCTGATCTACCACCAGCCAAGAAAGCACACAATAGGAACCAAACAGTATGAATATGAGGCCAGGGATCAGTCCCTTGCAATGGCCAAGGACTCTACAGGGCCAGAGGAGGGAAGCCACATGTCAAGAGCCTGCACAGGGAGATACAGAAGCTGGGCTGAGTCCTTGGAACCTCAGAGTGCCATCTGGAAATGAGAATACTACCTAGAACCTGTGTGGGGAAGAGGAGAGACCCTTTCCACCGGCCAGGCCCTCTCTGGGAGAACAGTGAGAGGTGGGGAGCAAAATGGGGCAGCCAGGAAGGGAGGCTGCAGGAGCTCCAGGTTTGCCCCTCCTCTCCCCTCCCATAGCAAGCAGCTGCTGCCAGCCCCGAGCCAGGACAGCGGACAAAGCCCTACAGGGGAGGGCCAGGGACTTGCAGTGCCTAGAGCCAGCAGGCCGTGGTCCCAGGGCACAGCAGTACATGGCCCAGAACTCCATCTGAGAGCCTTTGTGGGTCTCTGGGAGCCTGCCCAGGAGAGTGCGGGAACTGGCGATGGCGGGATGGGGTGGGAACCCTCTACTTCCTGGGGTCCATCCAGGCCTGAGTAATAAGAGGTTCAAGGAGCACCCCATCTGCCCTACCCGGTCCCAGAGCTGCTGGGACTAGAGTGGCCAGTGCCACTCATCCCTGAGTTCAGGGAAAGAGGATCCCCCAGCGCTGTAAGAAGCGAGTAGGACGAGGTTTCTCAAAAGCCGGGTGACACCTGACAAGTCGGAACTTGCCCAGGCTGGCTAGGTCCAGACTGCAGGTTCCCAAGAGAGATAGCTGGCGCTAGAGGAAGCGGGCCGGGAGAGGATGGCTCCCTGCCTCCCTCTGCTGGTAGCACCTTGAATTACAGCGCACCACATCACTGGGCGGGCACCTACTGCGGGTCCTCGCCGAAGGGCACTAGGGAGAGTAGACATCTGTCCTAAGTCATCACTCGGCTTTAGCTGCGACGGACCTCCAGACACAGCCGTCTATCACCAGCGTCCGAGTCCCGATTCTCACTCCTTCGAGAATTCCTTTATCTAGTCCAACTTTAGTATTTCCTCAACTTCGTGCAGGATGTCTCCGAAGACCATACTCTTTCACAATATGGATGGAAACGAAAAGTCTCCTATCTCGTGGTGACTAAGGCCGCCCTTTCCGCCTGCCAACGACCACCGAGAACTGAAGGAAATGCAGGGACTTCGCCCCAAGTCCTGATGTATCAGGGCAAGCATGAGTGTCACCGCCCAGATCTGTCCGGCCCAACCCTCCACGTGCCCAGGAGAAAGAAGTCGATCAAGGATTCTTTGGGGTTGTGCCGCCACCTGCTGGTGGATACAGAAACTGCAACTTCCCCACCTGGCAGAAGCCCGACTCCAGAGAGCACATAAAGATAACACATACTTTTATTTTGCCCTTGCACAGAGCTTCTGCCAAGTTCTTTTGAGAGACGAGAATGTGAAATAGGTTTTCATTTAGCCCAGTCTAGCCTTCAACTAGTTATGTACCGAAACTGCCCTTAAAGTCTCTCCTAAATGCTGAGATTACAGGCATGTGCCACTCTGGCCCAACACTCCTATGGATCATACTGATCATCCTATTCTACATTCTCCAAAGGAAATGAACATTATTCATGCCACCCCACCTTTAAGGACACTGCTGCTTACTGACAGCTTCATTTTGTTTGGGGGGTTCTGGGCATTGAACACATGAACACA